ATGTGTGTTTGTATGTATGCGTAATTGTGGTTGCTGATTGCGTTGTTGATATTTATATTATTTATTACTATGTTTATTTATTATTGTATATTTATAGTTTGCTTTTTTAAAGGATTTATCATCTTCGTAGCTTGTATGTGCAATTTTTTGATGCACTAGCGTTTATAAATAATTCGTTTATAATATTTCTTCTTTGTATATTCACATACATACATCCGTATATAAATACAAACTGTCATATACACACAAACAAACAAACACGCACACAAACAAACAAACAAACATTTAAACAAACAAACAATCACACAAACAAACATTTAAACAAAAAATCCACACAGACACACACACACTAGTAAATTAATTTTAAACACTACAATACTCATCTCTATGAAATTCCTTCGACATCTTACGGATTAATCATTTTTGCGGCGCAGAACTTTTGATAAAAAGATTTGTATATCTAGCTATATTTATGATACTATTAGTTTGTATTTCTCGTAGAAACATACTTTGCTTACATACATCATACATACATACATACATACATACATACATACATACATACATACATACATACATACATACATACATACATACATACATACATACATACATACATACATACATACATACATGCATGCATGCATGCATGCATGCATGCACACATATATACACGCATGCACACATACATTACATGAACATGCAAAAAATGCTTTTTATTGTTACATAATAACAATAATAATTTTATTATTTTATTTTATCTGTTATTTTCACCTTTCTAAAAGTTGAATGTTATTGCACCAAGTTTTTTATTTTCAGTTTATTTAATGTATGGTTGGTTTATTTCTTGTTGCAATTGTTGTTATTTTTGTTGCTACAGTAGCATTACTGTTGTTGTTGTTGTTATTGTTGAAAAATGTTGGAAATTGTCTTTGTTTTTGTTGTTAGCATATGATACGCCATTTGCTCTATGTAAAATTCTTGGAATTTTCCTCATTTTTTCCATTTGAGCATTTAAATACATATGAAAAAACTTGGAGATATGGAGTTATGAAAGACTTGGGTTAAGATATCGCCTGCCTTTATTTATCTCACAGTTATTAAGTAATAAAAGTTTCAAAGTTAAATTCAATAGTACCATTTCGCAATAAAAAGAGCCTGATATGTGGATTTCACAGAGGAGAATATAGGATAATGATAGGGCATACTAATATAACTTACAATTAGAATTAGCTATTGAACGAAACAGGTTCTCCAGTCTGCAAATACTGCCAAAAATCCTAACAATACAACATTTATTCTCATGCCAAAATTCCAAAAAAATTAAAATCAAGCACTCTGTATCAGAAGATATATCTGACAACTTTAAATCCACGATAAGCATCGTCTCTGTTATAAACTTTTTCAAAGAGTTACAATATTTTGACGATATTTAATTTTATATATATTATATTTGTATGTTGAAGTGTTGTTAATAATTATAGCTAACAATATCGTGCTTTATCGATTTTTTAAATTCTATTAATTTATTTAATTATTTTTATCTATATATTTATTCATTTTGAAAAATCAGTTTTACTTTAGAATTAAGCTCTCCTAACGTCACCTTTTGAATAAAAACGTATTCTTTTGATAAAATTATATTTTTTTGTTCCTCTTCTTATTTTTATTATTATTATGGTTAACAAGGCTTGGTGAAAATTTATATGTACACATCAGCTTTGCCATAAAGACCAGAAATTCTGATTCACATTAGTCAGCAAGTCACTCAAAATGCGGCAGTCAGACTGGTTGCAGGTATTGGGAGATGGAAGCATGTGTGATACTATGCTATCGCCGAACTTCTATCTCATTGTTTGCCGGTGGAGCAGAGAGTTATTTTCGAAATTGAAATGACGGCTTGAAGCCATGAAGAAATTGTACGGTTCTGAGTTATTTCGGTGAGTGTGTACGCGTGTGCGCGCGCGTGAGTATGCGTATGTGGGTGTGCACTCACATTCAATATTCCATTGTTCGCACGTTCTCCATTTGAAATTTAACGTCACCGATTGACGTCACAATTCTATTTTATTCTATTTTATTAACATGCATAATGGAATGAATACGATTGAGAAATTAAAGTCCAAAATTCTGTGCCTGCAAGTTGACGATAGTAACATGACATAACATAACATTGCAAACACATACAAATAGCAGTTACGTAACATAGTTAAAATAGTAAAACGGATTATAAAAATAACCAAAACGACCTAAGAACTTTAAAGAATAGCAACAAACATTTTAACAACTAATCTTTTATTACGATATCAAAGAAATTATTATTATTTACTATGGTATGGTATTATTATTTAACATTAACATCCACAAGAATGACATCAATTTACGATATTACTTAACTTAGCATTAGCTCAACAGCAATTACCTTATTTGACAATAACCTAAAAGAGAAAATTTCAGAAGACAAGCAGCAACGGCAACCAACCACAAAAACAACAACATCAAAAACCCAACAACATTTTAATAAGACAAAACAACAACAAAAACAAATCACAATTAAAAGACAACTCCCCAATGACGACAAAAGGTTTTATTTTAACATCGCAATAAACAAATAAACACACTCGACTCATAGCAACAGCTTTCATTCTTTTTCTTCAACCTTCCATACCAACACAAAAAATCTTCTGACGTCATTAACCTAAATTGCGCTTTCCTTCCTTCCTTCTTCCTTCCTAAATAGATGAATAACTTCATTCATTTTTATAATTTAAGTGAGCAAAATTATAAACTTTCACCGTGTCATTTGTCATTTATAACCGAAAAAACTCAATTTGGTCCTATGAGTGAAATGGAAAATTTTCAAAGAAATAACCATACCGAGCATTAAGTGAAGGGAATAAACTTACAAGTATACCATTGTAATGTAATTTATATCCTCACTTATGTAGATAACTTAGCTTTCACACCTAATATGGGGAGAGAAGTCACTAAAATTAGGACATAAGTTGTCTGCATTTGGATGTGGTTAGCAACATAACAAGATCAAACAAAGTTAGAACTTATAAGCTTTCCAACTTTTTTACACTATATACTGTTGCAGCATTGTGTTTGAGTGAACTATGAAGTTAAAAATAAAATAAATGGAAAAGCAAATTTTTAAGTTTTGGTTTCTAAATTAACTGAAAATAATAGTTGAAATGTAAATTTTTAACTTAAAAAGCACCTATGGATGGCACTGAGGTTTTTATATTTTAAAACATCAGGTGAATGTCAAAAAATTATGGCGAGTGTCTTTAACAAATCGTTTCACTGAAACCAATCAAATTTTTATTAAACATTAACATTTTGAAACACTTTTCATAATCACCCTAGTTTTAATTAAACGAAATTTCAATTCAAAAAAACTAAAATCAAAACAGTACAAATAAATTGAGCGCCTCAAGATTTGTCTACGCCTAGTCAGCCACGCTTGTTTGTTTACAAATATGAATATTTATATGGCTTAATTCGACCTTGACCCAGTACAGTTTGTTTACGTCTGAAGAATCAGATTTTCTTGTTTACGACAAATTTTCATCTTTTGAATCGAAATAAATTAAAATTAACCGGACGGATCGTCCAATAACTCAAAAATAAAACAAATGCTACCCGTTAAGTCAAATTATTTTGTAATTTTTTCAATTTCAATTGAAGTAAGCGAGAAACAACGAACAGACAGCAACACGTCGATCGAAATAATTTATTAATTAAAATCAGCAAAACAATTCGATGAAAAATCGAATTTGTGAATGACTGGCCGTCCAATAGGCGCGAACCGCGTACTCTTGTTTACTCACTTCAGTGTATGTGTAAAAGGTTTTCCAATGTTCTGCATACACATCACATTCATACATTTACGTTGGAGTCACACTTACATGCGTTCTACATTTTCCTCAATACTTGCAGTATAGAGCTTACAAAACGTGATTAGCCATGACCCATTAGACGTAAATGCGAAATTCGAATGTGTATGTCATATATGTATGTACGAATGTATGTATTGTATGTGTGTATTGCATGTATGTTTGTATGAAAGTATGTGTGTATGTACGAATGTATGTAGGCCTCTTTATAGTTCCTATAAGTATAAGATGATTGTGAAGTCAAAACATACATACATATACAAATAATACATACATACATACATACAGACATATATACATCTAATATATAAACAAGATAATTGCGAAAAACATTACATAGGCGCATTCAGCATTTTAGTTATATATATGCATAGTACGTGCCTTTGTCAGTTGTATGTTTGTTTGTTTCGTGAATGGGTTTTCATCGCGTTGTGTTATATGTTGTTTTGTTGTTTAAGATTTCAAAGTTAAACAGTTTAAACGTGAAGAAGTTTAACTTTTCTCGAGTTTGAACTAATAAGTTCGACTGAAATATTTAGTAAAAGTTATTATCTTGTAATTAATTCATCATTTAACTAACTGCTTTTTAGCTGGAAGAGGAAAACATTGTTGAGGAGATAGACATCAGCATCACGTATGTCTGTGTGTATATTGTACATGTATATGTATGTGTATACTATGTTATGTATGTATGTATGTATTTATGTATGTATGTGTGTATGTGTTTATGTATGTGTATAGTGTAGATATATGTACTTTATGTTAACTGTACTTTACTTGTTTATTTTATTTATTATATATATATGTACTTTATGTTAACTGTACTTTACTTGTTTATTTTATTTATTATATTTTTAATTTGATTAATAATGTGTAAAACTGTAAATTTTACAGTAGAGTAAATCAAATCTGAATGTATTTATTGTAACTCTTATAGATAGATTGTATGTGCTTCAAATGTATGTGTGCACATTCATTCATTCATAATACTTGCACAATACACAGTACGTGTGCAATTTATTTTGGATGGTTTTGTGTCTGTGTGTGTGAGGTTATTTATTGTTATTAATTGGAAAAAACATATCATACATACATGATATGGCACTGCATGTATGTGTGTGCTGTTTGCATGTGTATGTTTGTTTGTTTGTATGTATGTATGAATATATGTATGTATGTATCTAATATGTAAGTATGTATGTATGCATGTATGTATGTATGTATGTAGGTATGTTGAACAGTTTATTTTATAAATTTATTCTATTTAATTGGGCCCCCCAACAATCTGCTGCCATGTTTACTTCATATTTATTTCTTGTTCACTAAAGTCTAAAATTAATGAAAAGTATTTGGTTTATTGATTAATTGGTTGATTGATTGGATGGTTGATTGGTTAATTGTTAATTGATTGGTTAATTGTTTGGTTAATTGATTGATTGATTGATTTATTGATTGATTGACAGGTCATTTCTTTAGAAAATTGTATGAGGAACAACTTTTAGAGACAAGAATCTTATCATCATCATCATCATCATCTGATCATCATTGTCATAAGAAGAAGAAGAAGAAGAAGCTACATTCATTCAATCATTCAAGGTTTATCTATATTTGATGAGAATCTTTAATTAAATCAAGATTGATAACAACATTTTAAATCACTTTGTTATTGTTAGTCTGTTGATAATTTTATTAAAAAATTGATTTTGTTAAGAAAGGCTAGTTAATTTGACACAAAACTATGATATAACACACACACACACACACACACACCATATAAATGAGCTAAGATATAAGTCTATAATTTTATAATTTTGCAATAATTTCATTATATTATAATAATAATACAATTATAAGAGTTTCATTTTTGAATGTACTACTACATCAATTCCATTTTAGTTTCACTGGCTGTGCATTGAGCTTACATCACTGTTTCTTATCCTTGTTGGAGAAGTCAGGCATCATCGTCGTCATCCTCTCCGTCATCATCATTCTCTTCCTCATCCTCTTTTCTCCACCATCTTGTACTAATTTCGACTAGGCCGAGTTAGTCAGACCTGAGATGATGTCTCTACCGAAGACAGCTGATAGGAAAAGTATCGGAGTAAAGACTGATGATATAAAAATGAAAGGAAATTTGTTGAAATTGAAGGTTCTGTGATTTTCATAAAAATTTCTAAATTTTTTGATTAGTTTGATGCTTGATGTGTGTGTACTTGTGAGGTGTGTGTGTGTAGTGTGTATAGCTGTGTTGTGTGCTCCTGTGTGTGTGTATGTGATTGATTTGATTTATTCTTTAGTGCAACGATTTTTAGTAAAGCATTGGTTAATAAATCCATCAGATGGTTTTATATGTTGTTGCTTTGTTTATATATATATCTTTTTAATTAATCTTCATACTAATTCACATGTTCAATTATTTATTAACCAGATGTTTTAAATATTAGAAATAGATGATTAAACAAAAAACTGAAAAATAAAACAATTTTTTAAACTATCAATAGACAAAAAAGTTCAAATACTTTGTGTTGCGAGACGAGACAGACAGTACGAGAGCCAGGTTGGAATACTATCCAGACGAGAGAACCTTCCTGGCCAATCAGACTCCACCACGAAGATCCATCATCCTTAAGGACTGCCTCAACATGAACAAGGGTGTGTCTGTCTATCTGTCTTTCTTTCTGTTTGTCTTTCTGTCTGTCTGTCTTTATGTTTGTTGTTTTCTTTATGTTTGTAGTTCTTTCTTTATTTTGTTTACATTTTAAGTGGTCCTTAATATGGGTATCTGTACTGTAGATGCTTTATTTACGAGAGGTCTGCATGCATCAGTGACAAACATTGTTGGACTCGTGTTTCTAAATAACTTGAGAGTATATGTTTATTATTTCTCATCTCCTTTTATTTCCTGTGTGTGGTTTAATTACTTACTCTGTATTATTATCTGTATTATTTGTGGTTGTTTTATTTGTGGTATAAATAAAATAACTGGTTCTGAAAACAATGCAAATTGTTATTTATGATGATTAAACTCATAATTAAACACTTTTATACACGTGGAAAACCTTAAAATATCCTATAAAACCTATGATAACCTTTAAAATACCCTATCAAAAAAACCAGGAGAGCCAATTTTGAAATCAGGAAAATTCTCCCTGGACCACTATGACCTAAGTAAGATCAGCTCCTTCACCAGCGACGCGAGCCCAAGTGGGGCAACGAACCAGGGCATCAATGTCTTCAAAAAGTACGTCCTCTACATATACACCCACAAGGATGTCTTCAAGATCGGCTTTCCGTCAGAAGCCGAGCAAGAAGAATGGTTTTTTATGATGCAACAACTTAGGAGTAGGAGCATTAAGAAGGAAACAATCACTAACGAATTTGGTATTGTTTTTTGTATCCATTTGTGGTATCAATAGCAAACGTGTAGTGAATCATTGCATCATTCACACATATTGCATGTAATTGGCGGGGATCTTTTGGCATTTGAACCCAATCACTGCATCAGCAATGTCAGGCACTTTAGCCATTACACCGTCATGCTGTCCAAATTTATACTAACTATAATTAATTTATTTAATTCTGCAAGTATTTTAAAATTTTTTATTAAATTTTTTGTTAAAATTTAATCTCTTTTTGAATCTTGAGACATGTTATTATATAACTTTTAACATTAGCCAATTTTTCATGACCCTTCTATAAAGATGGGTCATAAACCTAACCCAAACCAGTCACATTTTATAATAATTAATAATATCATTATCTCGGAAATAATAACAATTATAATTATTAGGAATAATTATTTATAATTATAATTATTTCAGAGCATGTGTGGCCGGTTAAATTGGTGCCACAGAGTTACGGATGCGGTCGAAAGATGAAGTCTGGTTTCTACCACTTCTGTCTCAACAACAAGTTCGTCAACCTTATCAGAATGACAGATAAGGAGGAGGACAGCGCAATTTATTCCTTTGCTGTTAGTTGTTGCTGTTGTTGGCTGGAGATCCACTTTTAGTTGTTATTTTATCTTTCGGTTTTTTTTTGGTTTAGTTTGTTATTTTACAGTCTGTTTGTTAGTTTTTTTTTCTAGCTGTTGTTATTTTAATCATGTCTGAGTTTTTTTTTCTAATTTCCTGGTGATGATTTTTTTGTGAAAAATCTATTTGTTTAATTGTTGTTAATTTTTTTGTTGTTATTAAGATTTAGACATTCTATTCTTCAAAATAATTCATCCAGACGTTTTTTATTTTTGATTAATTTGGTTTCAAATTATTCATTTTTTCCAACGACACCGACACTAACACGACGACAGTTGAGTGAGATAAAGAAGATCGGTGACTCGCACAAGTACTTCATCATGATCATCGGGTCGGGGTCTGCCCTGGGTGAGGGGGCCCTCTGGTTTCTCGTGGAGGACATACAGATTGCCAAAAATATGCACACCATAGTTTACAAGTCAGCTCTCTTTCGTTTATTATTATTCGTTTGTCATATATATATTTTTATTATCATTAATTATATTATTGTTATTATTAGGGATGCACCGAAGTTCGGCCCCGGCTCCGGCCAAAATCCGGCTTTTTTTTCAAATCCGGTCGAATCCGGCCCCGGCCGGATTTGGTGGCCGGATTTAGGGCCCGATTTAAGCGTCTATCAACTTTTAAAAATGTTATAAATAGAAAAAAAAATTTTATTGAATTCAATTAATTTTATGTCAATAAGTTAAAGGCTAAGCTAAAGGCTAAAGGCTAAGCTAAAGGCATACATGACACATAATAACAACATCACCAATTGTGAGGTAATCTGGACAATTTTCTTTATGCTATAACATGGGTTATGCATAAATTATAAGCTGATCTTTGTGTAAAAGAACTTGTGCACGTATATATACTATATATTGATAATTGCATATGACGGATCATATAGCTACATAATATATATATATATATATATAGAGAGAGAGAGAGAGAGAGAGAGAGAGAGAGAGAGAGAGAGAGAAATATACATAAGCACATAATTTAAGAAAGGTTAGGCTAGGTATACATGACACATAATTACAACATCACTAATTGTGCGGTGAGCTGGACAATTTTCTTTGTGCTTTAACTTGGGTTATGCAAATATGCATAAATTATAAGCTGATCTTTGTGTACAGAATTTGGCGTATCACACAACTTATTCATATATTTGAATTAAATAACATGTTCAACATGTAGATAATCGTAAATGTGAGTATTTTTTCTAACTTATGTAAAATCGTAACTAAAATCCGGCTCCGGCCCCGGCCGGTTTTTGAATTTTAAATCCGGCCAAGTCCGGCCCCGGCCGGATTTGAAAAACCTGAATTCGGTGCATCCCTGGTTATTATTATACTTATTTATAATTATTTGATTTACGTATGTGTTGTTAGAAACTGGCTGATTGAAAATGATTAATTGATTGAATGATTAGTTGGTTAATTAATTAATTAATTAATTGACTGACTGACCTGTATATTTATTTATTTTTTATAAATTGATCAATAACCCAATTTTATTATCTAACTAGTTTTTTTTTTCTTAAAACCGTTCATAAAATCAGACTCAAGAAAAAAAGCAAAGTCTGCTAAATCAGTTAACATATTTAAAAAAAGTAATAGCAGTAGTAATTATAGCTACAAATGTCTGAGTCAAGTCATTTCAGATAAAAAAAAATAATTTGGGGATAACTAGACAAATATGCAAACGTTTAGGCGTTGAACTTTTCAATAGAATTTATTCTCTGTAAGATGTTTGATAAAATTATGAACATGTACAATAGGAAAGTTGGGATGATGTTTCGTTGAATGGGGCTAGGAAAAAAAAATGATTGGCAGTTTGATTGACTGATGGGATGAGTTAGTTGAGGATGAATTAAAAACATTATTTTTATTTTTTGTTATTTTATAATATATTTTTATATATTATTATGACATTATAACTTGAGAGGGGTTTAAATGATGTTAAATTTCCATTCAAAAACAGTGCAATGATCTCTAAGCCAACACAGTTAGTTTTGGAATAATGGATGGATGAATGGATGAAGAATTGAATAAAGGAATGAATGAATGAAGGAAGGAAGAAAGGAAGGAATATGTGTAGGAATGGATGAAAATGAAATATGAATGCAATGTATAAACAAAAGGTGGGGCTGAATATGATCGAATGTGAAAAAGAATGGGCGAATGAATAAGCAAATGATTAAAAGATTGAATGAACAAACGAACGAACGAACGAATGAATGAACAAAATAATCAAATGGAAGAACGAACGAATGAATGAATAAACAAATGAATGAATGAACACTAACGTCACTGGTGGAAAAAAGTTGCCGATGATATGATGATAGATTGGCAGATGAATGATTGCATGTATGTATCATCTATTTTTTTTCGTTTTGTTATTTAAAAAAGAGATTTCATTTTGTTTTAATTACACTCGTTTATTCAGTTTAGTCGGTCGGAGCGATGGTGTAGTGGTTAAGGGTCCTGGCATTGTTTACGCGGTGTCCACGTTCGAATGCAAAGAAATTCCCGCCCATCACATGCAAAAGTGTGTGATGTATTGATTCACGTGTGTTTGCATGCACTGTGTATTTGTTGTAATAATAATAATGCGCCCCAGTCGCTTGCCATGGCCCTATATAAAATGACATTATTGTTATTATTATTATTATATTATTTTTTTTCTTCGACCTTTCATTAATTATTTTATTCATTTATTCATTTCGTTTGTTCGTTCGTCCATTCAGACGTCGTCCAGCATTCACTGCCCCAGTGATTCAATTTCTCCAAAGGTTTCAGTAAGTTGATTGGTTCTTGGTTGTTTGGTTGTGATTGGTTGGTTGTGATTGGTTGATTAATTGTAATTGGCTGGTTTGTTGACTGATTGTGATTGATTGGTTGATTGTTTGTGATTGATTGATTGTGATTGGTTGGTCGGTTGTTTGATTGTGATTGACTGGGTAGTTGATTGTTTGTTATTGGTTAGTTAGTTGATTAATTACGATTGGTTGGTTGGTTGATTGATTGATTAATTGACTAGTTGATTAAACAGTTGAATGAAGTACTATAGAGTTGCTTATTTAAAATGGATGTGCTATGAAAAAGCTGTTGAGTGAGTGAGTGAGTGAGAAAGAGAGTGAGTTGGAGGGTGTATTAGTGAGTGAGTGAGTGATGGAGCTAAAGAATGACGAAGGAAATAGATGAATTAGATATTGAAGAGTTTTGAAGAGATGTACTAATATAGGTGATACATAATATTATAACTGTTGTTTTGTGATTTTATTTTTCATTCCAGTCAGTCCAAAGCCAAGAAAGGTACGCATTGTTCTCTCCTGATTTATTCAAACAAACATAACTAATTGTTTGTTTGTTTGTTTGTTTGTTTGATTGATTGATTGATTGGTTGATTGATTGATTGATTGATTGATTGATTGATTGATTGATTGATTGATTGATTGGTCGGTTGGTTGGTTGGTCGGTTAGTTGGTTGGTTAATTGGTTAATTGGTTGATTAGCGGATTAATTAATGGATTGAAATAATCAAGCAAAAACCATAACGCATGATCAGTTTTTTTTCGCTAAAGTATCATCATTTCTTGAAAGTTCAACTAAAATAAAAGCCGATGAGCGTCTTAAAAATCTAAACCTAAGTATCTTGCCGACATATTTAATGGTGAATTCACATGAATTCATAAATTTCGTACTATGTAGATTAGGGTCAGCTCCCAAATTGGTTTAGGCGCAACTTATTTTAGGCAACTTAACGTCAAGAGAATCTGTTGTTTGTACTATATTAACGGGAGGATCAACTATATATATGTGTGTGTGTGTTTGAGTGTGTGTGTTTGAGTATGTGTGTTTTTGTTTGGATGGGGTTGATTTGTGTTTGTTTGTGTGTGGCTGGGGTTGATTTTTGTGTGTGTTTGCGTGTGGATGGGGTTGATTTTTGTGTGTGTGCACGCGCGTGTGTGTGGGTGATGTGTCTGTGTATTTTCACGAATATGCTCTGTTAATTTCTGTCTTTTCAAATGAATGACAAAAGATTTTATATTTACTTTCGTATCTATTTAAAAATAAATTAAATTGATGTTTGTCGTTTCGATTGAAATAATTATCGTTAATTATTAATATTTATTTGACTAGTAATTATAAATAATTTCCGCTTTTAGAAAAAGAGGCCAAATCGTCAAAAACCAGCAGTTCAGGAACGCCTCCAAAAGTGTTGGCCCCTGGTTCTGCTGCTGATGGTCAGTGAATGAGTGAGTGGATGAATGAATGAATGAATGAATGAATGGATGAGTGAATGAATGGATGAATGAGTAATTGTTTGATTGTTTGTGTAAGTGAATGTGTGAGACGAAATCTTCAAAAGCAGACTGTTCGGTGTACTTCTTAAAATTTTGCCTCATGTACAAATGAGTTAGTGGGTAAATGTGCGAGCGAGTGAGAACTGCACGTGAGCGATTGCGTGGCTTGGCGAAGTGTGGAATTTTATTAAGAGAAAACTTAATATGGTGAGTGAATGTGAGTGAGTGAATGATGATCTGTTGGTGGCGACGACGATTATGAGGATGAAGTTGAAGGTGATGATTGATTAATTTGTAAACAGGAAACACGAGGGATAGTTCGAGGTCGTCACTATCATCTGCAGGCAGTCAGGCCACCACATTCACTTACTTCAGGCTGTGTTAGCATATCTTATTAGTATTTTTATCCTTCTCTGTTGCTATTTATATTGTTGTTGTTGCTGTTTGTTGTTGTTGTTTGTTGTTGTTGTTATTTTCATTACAGTTGTTGATATTCTTGAGTAGTTTTTTAATTTTATGGATAATTTTTGCTAAATCTATACATATGCATGCATGTACACACATGTTGTTACAGATTTTCAACTTTTTTCCATTTTTTTTAATTTATATTTTTTATGATAACATTTACTCTCTCTCTCTCTCTCTCTCTCTTTCTCTCTCTTTCTCTCTCTTTCTCTCTCTCTCTCACACCCACATACATGATGCTTTTTATACATAAATTATTTACTTATCTTCATAATTGTATCCTGCATACAAATAATTACTATACTTTCACGTTTGTTTATTTGTTGTGTGCATGCACAGTGCACAATGCACAATACATATTCAACATCCACCCCTCCATTCATAACTCGCTAATTGCAGACTATTTATAGAGACAACTTGTATGATTAATTGATGTTATGTGTAATAATAACAATAAAAATAACAACAGTAACAACAACAATGATAGTATTAATAATAATAATAATAACCAATGGTTATTCGTGAGGCCTCTTATAGGCCCAGTATGTTTGGAAACAAGATTTTTTTCTAAATGTTCTTTGGTGTCATTGAGGAAAAATTACTTGCCGACCATACAACCAGCTGTCTCTTACAATTTAGTAGAAAAAAGTCATTCACATCTACGTATGGCATTTATAAGTAGCATAACACATAATAATAATAATAAATAATACTAATAATAAATAATAGTAATAATAACATAATTTTTACAGCGCCCTATGCATAGCGTCAGAGGCGCCAGGATAATCAAATGTCAGCACGGCCACCAAAGGCCTGTTCGAACAGATGCTGATTCAATCGCTTCTTGAACATTATATGTGTGTGTGTGTGTGTGTGTGTGTGTAACGTGTATATATATATATATAACCTATATTGTTTGTTAACCGAGAAGCACGCACATATACACACACACGCACGCACATATACACACACACGTACTCCTACTCATATATGCACACGGGCTCTCAGCAGTACACAGATAAATAAAATTTTTCAAGGGCAATTAATTAATGTCAATTTTAATTAATATTAATGTTACAGCGTGGTGAATAGTCAGTTGTAAGCAAACATAAACATACATGTACTCGAGCCTGCCTGCCTGCGTAAAACTTAATTGAACAAACACTCAAAGGTTATTTCTGAAGAATGAAAATTATCACTGTAAGTAAACAGCAAACAAATAAACAATCTATTAATAACCTACAAGTTTTACGGTAACATTTTACAAATAAGCCAGGCGCAATCTATTGGTGAGATGTTGTTTAAGCGCAAGCCAAAACAACACCTGTTTAGTTTGTGTTTGTTGTGTTTGCGTACATGCCTATTGCCTGCTCCTTACTTTCGAACAAGCACATTCATATGTATTTTATGTAAACAATTCAAAGCATTCGTCTGTAGACTCAAACTTACTGGGTTGTGTGTGTTGTGTTATGTGTGTATCAATCAGAACTATAACATTTAAGCCAGAGACCGACGTTACGACTTCTATTAATAATGTTCTTTTTGGCTTTTTATTTCCTCATATATTTTCCTTTACCATCACATTGCAATCATTTTCTTTTTTTCATTTGCTTCATGAGAATTTGAACTATACACTATTACGTAACTGTCCACATCAGGTCCACACCACGGGGGCGATTATGACGGCAGCTACATGCCCATGGACCCTGACGCTTCCATCCAACCCAACTCGTATGATCCTGGCTACTTTAGGACTACATCATTCGGAAGTCAAAACCAGTACAGAGAGATGAAGTCAGGTCTGAAAGAGGAGGACAAGTCGTCAAGCGCGCCTCATCTGAAAAATGAAAGTGAGAAGTCTGGAGATATTGCGGCCTCTGCGGCTGATGCTTTTTGTGGCGGGAGTGGTGCTGCAGTCGGTGGTGACGATGGGGCTGGCAGAGGTGCAAAAGGTTACTTTTTCATTATATTTCAAGTTACAATGGTCGCATGCTTCGAGTTTTTATAATATTAAGCTTTGGAATGTATAGACGGTGCATGGCATATCATATAATTAGTTTCACAGGAAGGTTCTTTTTCAATATGTAGGTAATATGTTCGGGCTTGTTTTTTATTTATTATTGAAATAATGAAGATTCCTAAAATTGTATTTTAATGTATACTTAATTTGATTTCAGCCAAGTCAACAAAACCTCCAAAGTACACGTGGTATTGTAACAAGTGCAGTCAATCCAATTACTCTTCCATCCCCAACTTCGATCCTTACGCTGACCTGACATTCGATTCAACGTCCACATCGACGAAAAGTCTCTTGGGGGGAAAGAAACAACGTGCCACTGGCAAGAAACCTATACTAGATCCCAAGGAGCAGAAGATCAAAGAACATTTTGAAACTATTCGAATTATAGAAGAAAGTAGCAAACAACATCCTGACGATTTCAGACCTCGCTTATCCACCGCGCCAAGTTCTCAACCGGCCAGTCAACTCTCGCGAATCAGAACCTATACAGAAAGTACAAAATCAAGTTGCAAGGGGTACGCCAGGAACATTATGTCGAAAGGGAGAAGAACGTTGCCCAGCAGCAGTTTGGACGAAGGTCCATCCTACCTCCCTATGAACGCTCATCTATTTCAATCGGAGTTCAATCCAGATTCGGATGACATGTACATAAATATGTCGTTGGCACCGGATGAAAAAGAAGAGGAAGTGTACGAACGTATGTCATTCAAAACCTCCTCTCGATTCAAATCGACGACAGCCGCACCGACCCGCGTAGCAGTCAGCAGTATGAGCAGTAGCGATAGAAACTCGACAAATAGTGAAGTATTTATATCACCGTTGCCTGCCTGCCCGAATTATCTCGAAATGAAGATTACGACGACAGCAACCACCTCAGCTACGACGACGACGACATTTACGTCCACAACTCGAACTAGTTCATCCTCCACAAACTCACCTCCGTCGTCTGCATCGCCGCTATCATCGGCGTTGTCCTTAGTCCCGACAGCCACAATGACCACGTCGACGACAACCCTCACCTTTTCAGATTACCTCCCGATGAATTTTGATAACAAACCGCCTCATAACTAATTATTTTATGTACGTCGTGATGTCTTGTTAGTCAGAAAAATGGGTCAAATACTATGTAGAATTAATTATTATTAAAGTAATTTATTTTTTTTTTAAAGTTTCTGTTTTGTAGGTAGTTCGTTTTTTCATTGACACTTTCATTGATTTGAGTCTTCTATTTAAATGCAAACGGTTTATTCAAGGTGTTTTTCAATGCGTATTTTTTATGTCAGTGTGTATCAGTGGTTTGTTTACACACACACATATACATACGTACACACACATACATACATACACACACATACATTAAGCGCATGTTTCTTTCTGTTGTATTGTTTTCATATCTAAGCATTTTTAGTCGTTTGGCTCTGCCTCATTTTCATTTTGTTTTCAAATTAAAAAATGTTTCTGATTTCGAGTGAATGGTTGAGAATAAACAATTGAATACAAAATGTATGGAGAGTGAATGGCTATGACTGAGTAGATAAATTGAAACTTGCAGACAAAGGAGTAATTTAGAAATTTTATCATTATAAATTTTTAGTTTCCTTGCACAAACATTCGAAATTAATGATGGTAGACGTGTCGTGGGTGGACTCTCTATTCGTTCTAGGTTTGTTTTCTATATTAGATACCGATGGTTAATGTTACAAAATTTAGTACTTTTGCTTTTCATAAGATGATGGAATCGCTCTGAAATTTTGTTACGCGTTTATGCGCAGTAGATAGGTAATAAATAAATAAAATACAAGATGGTTAACCAAAAAACGTCTTTCTTTTCTTGAATAAATTTAATCAAATGTAAGGGTGATAATAACAGTACTGTACAACATCGAAAACTACACTGATGTTACCGTTTTGACATCCTATCAAACAGTTCATGCATCACATTATCCGGCAGTTCATCAGCTTTTCGAACGAAACTACCACAAAAATAGTATATGTCATAAAATAATTATTTTTTAGTTTTTGCGTATTACGGGTTATCAACAGGAAAATATTATTTAAAATCAAAATACGGTTTGACAAAAGTCTGCAATAAAGATAATACTAATGGAATAGATTAGCCAAAAGAAACTTCTACACAGATTTCTACACAGAGATTTAAATATTTTATTTCAGAAGTTCTTTACATACAGTCCAGTTGTTCAAGTGGAAAAATTTGATATGTCATGAAAAAAATATTAAGTCGGTACTAGTTGCTATCTAACAACGTGGTCACTATTTTTTCTCTTTGATTTGTTGTGCCAGGTTAAGGTTCATGGTTGTCTCGGCCAACACACTTCTCGTCTTATTAACTGTAAAATTTGTTTAATAGTATGGTAGATAAACATAGTTTTATATAACCGACAATAAAAGAAAATACAACACGAAGATAGAAAAACAAAATGACTGAAACGGTTGTAAAAAATTTCACATTACTTTGTTCAATGACTTCAGATTGGCTTATACCCTTGATGGCCTTAGCAGCCTTTGAATGTTTGCTTGTTTTTCCTAAGGATGCCGATGCCTTCAACTTATCTTGTAGAGAACTTTTCTCTTTTTTCAGTTTTTCAATGGTGCTATCCATAGCTTTCAACCTCTCCTCTAATTCAATTTTCTCTTTTTTCAGTTGTTCAATTGTGCTCTCCGTCATTTTCAGCTTCTCTTTGAGAAAATTTTCTTCTGTTTTCACGTCTTCCAAGCTGATTTCAGTATTTTTCAACTGTCCATGAAGGTAACTGTTTTCATTTTGAAGTTCTTTGATGATGCTCTCCGCTGTTCTCAACTTATCGTGCAACAATACCTCTTCCTTCTTCAAGACTTCAGTGCAGCTACCCATCATTTCTAATTTTTCCTTTAGAGAATTCCTTTCCACTTCCAGTTGTTCAGTGTTGGTTTCCATTATTTTGAGATTCTCTTGTATTAAAGTCTTTTCATTTTTAAGTTCTTCAGTGGCACACTCAGTCATTTTCAACTTTTCTTGAAGGGATGACTTTTCATTTTCAAGTTCTTCAACAGTACCTTCCGCTGTTTTCAACTTACCCTTCAATTCTGTATTCTCATTTGTCAGCTGCTGGATCTGTTGGAAACAATTTTCTTTTTCATCATCGTTTTGTTGCAGTTTCGAGCTCAACTCAAGTATCAGAGATTTCAATTTTAAGAACTGTTCATTTTTTAAGGCATTCTCAGTTTTTCTGCTTTCTATAAGTTCATTCTTCTCCTTTTCAAGTTTCATTTTCACAAGTAGCATTGACTCATGTTCTTTTTTTAAACAATTTAATCGTGCTTCAACTTCATTTATTTTTTCTTGATACAGTATATCAGAAAGAGTTTCAGTTGATTTCTGATTAACAGAAGTTTCCACCAGAGTTTGCTTGTTATAACAACCTGCAACGTCAGATTTTAACTTAGAAACTTGTTCATTTTCAAGTGTGCTGTCAGATTTTCGAGCTTCTAAAAGTTCATTTTTTTCTTTTCCAACTTGAACTTTCAGCTGCAGTAGAGATTCATGTTGCTTTTTTAAAGAATCCAATTCTGCTTTGAACTCATCTGCCTGCTGTTGACAACAAATGAGATTGTTGGCAAGGGTTTCAGCTGATTTCCGATTAGCAAGAGCCTCCATATTAATATGCTCATACCTTTCTGTAACTTCAGCTGTATGAATATTCAAAGATGAAATTTTTTCCTTTAGCAATGCAATTTCGGACTGATACTGTTTAACATTTGAGGATTCAATGTTGAGTCTATCATTCATCTCAGTGATATTAGCAATGTGGCACTTCAGTGAGGAAACGCTTCCTCTCAATTCATCAATCTCAATTCGGTACTGCTCTGCAATTGAAATTTCAACTTCAAGTTGCTTGCACTGTTTAATGAGTTCAAGTTTCTCTCTACTCATTGTTGAAATCTGCTCTTTTAGTTCAGATATTTCTGACTGGTACTGTTTCAACAAAGTACCGCTCTCACTGTCGTATTGTTTTTGTTGCAGTTTGTGACTTTCAAGTGCAACGATGCTACCACTGTTACCAGAAGAACATTCATCTTTTTCATCAACATGTTCTTTGACAACAGCCAACAATGAAGATTGACCAATGAGTGATGGACGACCAATGATTGACAGTCTGTTCAGCGATGTGTTTATTCCTTCTTCACCGCAGCCAGTTTGATTTAATACATCTTGTCCCTCTGAAAATTGAAAAAATATTTTTAAAAGTTTAAATCATTTAAACTAAAAAGTTGCAATAACTAATAAACGGGACCAAGCTACCTACCTTCAATCCAGACTGACACATCCTCTAGAAGACTGGCTGTCTCACCGAGACACTGAGGCATCTTTGAGACATCTCCACTGAGACCCAACAGAGAAGAAATGTCGGGATTGTCAAGAAGTTTTTTCAGAAACACAACAATTTCTTTCAAACGATCCCTCATCAGACGACAATTGTTCTCACTGACCGCCAACATATCGGCTAACAGTCGACTGTCTCCTGATATCTTTCTCGACACTTCAAGGTTTTCATTTGAAAAATCTAACCTGGTTGAATCCATATTGGGAACCAGAGAAAGTCTATTGAACTCTGAGTCCAAATCTCTGAATGATTGTTCATGGTGAGATGTGAAATTTACTTTGATTGATGAACTCAAACTCTGATTATGAACTTCATAACCCCTCCTGAGGTCATCACTTGTTCTTCCTGAATTGTTGTGCCCATCAAATGTGCTTATGTCACTGAGACATAATCCTTCGTGATAGTCACTCAACTTCCATGGGTTTTTGATTGAAGAGGAATCAGTCATCTGATTGGATGATGTTTTAGAATAAGTCATTTGATTGGTTGATGCCTTAAAATCATTTATCTGATTGGTAGATGCTTTAGAATCAGGATAAGATGAACAAATGGCAGAATCATTATTACTAGATGACTGCCTGGCCTGATGTGACTCTGCTAATTTTTTCTTCAAATATTTAATTTCATTCACTAACTTTACAATGAGTAGAGGATTGAAATCCCTTTTTGATTTAGTTTTAGTAGCAGAATCTGTTTCATCTACTTGTTGAGTTTGACCAGTGCTTAATTTGATCTGTTCAGTTAATAAATTAACCAATTCATTAGCTTTCAACAATTCCCCTTTGACTTCGTTCAACTCTTTCATCAATGTTTCAATGTTCCCATTGTCATTGACTCTACTCCAGTTTACTGGCAAATCTTGGAATATAGATGAAAAATTTGAATGAAACATGGAATTTTTGGCTCTTAACCTGACTTTACTGATATTTACATCTTCTTTGCCAACACATTTGAAATCGTTATTGAAACAACTTTTTGATTCAGGATTTCTAATAAAAGCAGAGCTATTTCTCACAAGATCCAACAATTCATTTCTCTTCCCCACCACCCACTGAAAAAGTTCACTCTTAGACATTCGTTCCAATGTTGACCAATCATTTGGGAGAACCTGCTCTAAAAGGACAGCCATGTTATTTACAAGCGAATTTTGATAGGATTCGCAATCTTGGGAGGCAGTCATAGCGTAATCTGGCGAACTGATGTTCGGTGTCAACGATGTTTGTGCTTCCCCACTGTTATAACTTTCAGGTTTTACGACCGATTTTTTTTTCAAAACGCGAACTTTCCTTTTTTCATCTGAGAATGAAATGCTGTTTTTATTACCTGCATGGTCCTCGTCAAGTGATGAATTCATTTTTTTTGCGATTTCACTACTTTAAAATTCCTTAACTTAAAACACCATTAACCTTAATAAAAATAATTCAACCGCCAAGAAATGTTTCACTAAATTTTCTTCAAGATCTCAAAAAAATGAAATTCTTTTATATAACAAAAACTAATTAAATCGACCGCCCAATTTAAAAGTAAATTAAGTTTTCTTAGCATAGAAAAAGACATTTTTTGTATTTTTATGTTTACAAATTATTTGTAAACTGTTTGGTTTATATTATGTATAACCCATTTTTACAAATAAATTAAATTTTTTTATTAGTAAAAATTATAACTGTTTTGATGTTTGCTTATAAAAGTAGTAGAAATACACGTATTCTTGACTAATCGTAAAATGATAAAGTTAAAATACTATGGCTGTAAATTTGATTGTAAATGCGCTATCTTTGGATAAACTTTGCTAGGCGATAATATAAATGTTGATAAACGATCGCATTCGCCGTCTGCCGATTTGTGCTCTGTCGCCTTTAGTTAAAATTGTTGTTAAGAACAAATTACAGTTATAGTGTCATATTTGCGTTTGACGTTAACATTTCAATTAATCTAGTTTTGTTTTATTTCAAACTCTCTTTAGTCAGTGTCTGATTTAGTTTAGCAAACCATTTTTGATAAATGGCGGCTGGGCCGATTGCAGAAAGAAATCAAGGTGAGTCAACACTTTTACATTTTTTGTCATTCTTTTTTTTAAAAATTAGATTTAAATGATGAAAAAATAAAAATACATTTTTATAAATTTAAGCAATTTTTATGATTAAATTTTAATTTTTAATAGTTGTATTAATTAATAATAATATAATTTACTTATTACTAGTTAATAATAATTATTTTTTATTAAGATGCCACGATTTACGTTGGGGGTCTGGACGAAAAAGTAACTGATTCGATTTTGTGGGAGATGTTTCTGCAATCAGGACCAGTTGGTTAGTTGATCAATCTTTTCAATTCAATCCCTAATTAATTTTTTTTTTATTTGTATTTATTTTATAATTGTTTATTTTTATGTTATGATGTAAAAAAATAATATATTTAAAAAAAATAATAACTGAGTTATATTATAAATCTAATATCAAATTAACAATTATTAATGATTTGTTATGATATTTCTTGTTCAAACATTAGAATAATATATTCAAATATAACATGAATATATAAATGTATATTTAAATATAACATAAATGTATAACAGCATATACAAATCAATCAAAACCTTTTACTTTATTAATCCCTATTTAGTAAATGTGCACATGCCTAAGGACAGAATCACCCAATCACATCAGGGGTACGGATTCGTGGAATTCATGGGAGAGGATGATGCCGACTATGCCATCAAAATCATGAACATGATCAAACTTTTTGGCAAGCCCATTAGAGTCAACAAGGTTTTCATATGTTTTTGGTTGCAAATTAATAACATTTTAAAATAAACTCATTATTTTATGTCCAGTATATAATTTAACATAATATAACATAATTTGTATATACCATTACATTGGTTTAATATTTTTTTATTTGTTTCAAATTTTTAATTTAAAAAATTGTTTTCTATAGGCATCAGCCCACCAGAAAAATCTGGATGTCGGTGCCAATCTCTTCATAGGAAACCTTGACCCAGAGGTCGATGAAAAGTTACTCTATGACACTTTCAGTGCATTTGGAGTCATCTTGCAAACACCCAAGGTTAATTTTTAGCACTAGAACTAGAACTATATATCTTTTTATATCATTTAATATACATATTCAAAATAACTTTTGTACTTTTAAAATTTTTTTCAATGATTTTAAAATTATTCTTATTTCCAATTATTTTTGAAACAAAATTTACTTTTGTTATTCTGTGATATTATTTTTCCTATCCTCTTTTAAAGGATGCCACTAAAAAATGAATAAATAAATTATTATTATAATTTTAAATAATTTATTCTTCACATAATTTACATATTTAGATAATGAGAGACCCTGACACAGGCAATAGCAAGGGATTTGCATTCATAAATTATGCGAGCTTTGATGCTGCAGACGCTGCAATGGAAGCAATGAACGGACAATACCTCTGTAACAGGTTAGTTGGTTACTACATTAGGTTTTGTTGTGTTGTTAGGTTGTTGTGTTTGTTGGGTTACTGTTGTTGTATATCTGTTATTTACTACACTATGCTTTGTTGTGTTGTTGGGCTGTTGTTGTTGTATATCTGTTATTTACTACACTATGTTTTGTTGGGTTGATTGTTGGGTTGTGTTGTATGTATGTATGTATGTATGTATGTATGTATGTATGTATGTATGTATGTATGTATGTATTTACTAGATTATTATACATTGTGTTATACCTTGTTGTATTGTATTTGTTTTGTTATTGTTGGGTATCTGTTGTATTGTACATTTGTATAATCAGTGTATGTTGTTAATGATATTCATTATTGAGTAATGGAATAAAAAAAAGTATATTGCAGTTTAAATAGATTATTTAATTAAATATTTAATAAGTTAATTGTTTAATTAATTATTTATTCAATTCAATTAAACAGAGCCATAACCATATCGTATGCTTTCAAGAAGGATTCTAAAGGTGAACGACATGGGTCAGCTGCAGGTTAGTTGTTGATGATGGCTATGATGATGATGTAATTGTTCAGTTTGTTCAGTTCATTGCCATGTTAAATTCAATATTTCGTTCATTTAAATGTTATCTTCCCCTCAATTAATTTCTTGGTTCATCCGTTAATTTTTCTCATCCATCTATTCATCTACAGAGAGATTGCTGGCTGCTCAGAATCCACTGTCACATGCAGACCGACCCCATCAACTGTTTGCAGACGCCCCGCCAATGATGATCCCCATGATTCCACCACCCCCACCACCTGGTGTCATGCCACCCATCATGCCCATGCCACCACCAGCCAGTAAGTTTTTTTTCTTTTCATTATTTCAGTGGATAGTATTTTCATTTTTGTTAGTTGAAACGTTTTTTCCATTGTCCATGGAAATAATGTTTTCAAGGTGTGACTTCTAGATGTGACTTCTACGTGATTTTTAAGACATTTTAAGTATTTCAAAGCATATGTCTTGTACAATAACAACTTACTGATGGAAAATGAACCTTGATATTAACCTGTGTTAACTAACTTACAGTGCAAGGAATGGCAGGAATGCACCACCTCTCCATGAACCAGCCGCCACCTCCCCCGATGCCACCTAACTTCATGCCCCCGATGTTCATGCAGCCCCCACGAGGAATGATGCCACCCCCTCAGCCACCACCTCCTGAAAATCAACAGATGCACCCACCTCCGTCCATGATGGGTTTGTTTTCATCTACATTAAGTCTTATTTGATAGTTTATAATATCGGTGTTAGATTGTTGTTGTTGCTAATTCAATTGTAGTGAGTCTGCATGCATTGTCTCGAAATATTATTTAAAACCTTCAATTAACATCTACCTTTATTACCAGGTGGAATGCCAAACTTCCAGGGAGGACCACCCCCACCTCCAAACATGGGCGATTGGGGACATCCAAGAAATATGATGCCCCCATTTGGTTAGTCATTTGCTTAGTCTATGTTCTCCTAGACAATATTTTTCGATTATCTACCAACATATACATTGACTGTCCAACTATTTATATTAAAAATACTGTTGTAAATATCATGTATTGGTCATTATGTATGCCAGGTAGTTTAAGAAGTTCTATTAGTTGAACACATTAAGCTGTTGATTAAATTTACAACTGATTAATTCAATTTAAAATTGAATTAACTAATTTTATCATTCATAAATCTCAGTTTTTCAATTTAATTTAACCAACATTCCAATTTTCAAATAATTGAATAATCAATAATTTTACTAATTCATCCAGGACATCCACCACCAATGCCTCCTCCAGGCGGACAGCCGATGTCCCATGGCAACCCCTCCATGCTGCCTCCTCCTCCACCCCCTCCCGGACAGATGGGTGGACCCGGACAGATGGGCGGGCCAGTACCCCCTCCCCCTCCACCAAATTTCTAGGGGAACGTTTAGCGTGCGACTTAGCCTCTATAAATATTTTGACAATTGCCTTTTTTGTAAGAGAGTTGTGTGACTGGTGTATATGATGTTGCATGCAACGACTCTAGTGAATTGAGGTCATTTGTAACAGGTCTGGAACGTTTCTGAATGATGATGCTCGTTGCCTCGTTACATAGATAGTTATATTTCTCATTCGTCATGGCTTCCATTGTTCATCGGGTTTCATGATCTTAATGAGTTTATCACACTATCAATGTCGCCGCCATTCTGTTGTCCACATCATCATCATCATCCTTGTCATCATCCTTATCATCATCGTCATCTTTGCATTATTTAATTTAAGGTCACTGAATAAACTCCTTCATCCGATTGTTAATAATAACCAGTCGTTTTATTAATAAATTTTACCAATAAACTTGCGCCTATAAAGTCTAATCCCATAAAAAATGTAATATATACAAAGCAACGAGCAACACTCGTTTGTACATACAAAAATGCATACAAATACACGTATGCATGTAATTTGTATACAATTTCAAATACAGATATATAATTTCAGTAATTTGTATACAAATTCATACAGATATAATTGTCTCCACTTAATCATCATCATCATCGGCATTTGGTATTTATTTTAATTAAAACAATTTGTACCGCTAAGGAACATCTGAGATTGGTTGTGTCATCAAGTAATGTGCCATTCCATTCGTTCACTCTATTATTTATTCGTTCGTTCATTTGTTCACTATTTTAACCATCCATCCATCAATCATTCGATCCTTTATCACACAATATTTATTCAATTAATTATCTCGCGATTTTAAATTTAAAGAGTTAATAATGAATGAATAAATGAATCTAATAAAGTTCTAAACATTTGCATAAATTTGTTGATAGCAACCCAAATAATTACAATCATATTTAAACAAACAATCAATTAATTAATTAACTAATTTGATTAATTAATTAATTGGTTTACAAAGTTGTTAATTAGCAATGGAAGAAATAGTAACAGTGAATAAGTAAATTTACTATAGCATTAATGTCCTTGTGAGTGTTGGTAGCAATATTTTGGTTATCGGTCCTTTATCACATAATGTTTATTCAATTAATTTGCTCGCGATATTAAATTTAGAGAAAGGAAGTTAATGAATGAATGAATCTAATAAAGTTCTAAACATTTGCATGTTAGTATTGTTAACAACAGTAGTATATATATATATATATATATATATATATTTATTTATTTATTTATACACATATATATTGGAAGGAAACCATATTTTATACAGTAATGTATGAATTCTACCGAATTGTTGGCATTAATCAAGATAAACTTTAAATACACACACACACATATATATATATATATATATATATATATATATATATATATATATATATATACATATACATACGAAGATGTATGCTAATTACAAGGTTGTGTATGGGTGGATGGTCCATAAAGTCCATTTTTTGTGTTTCACACATACGCGCACACACATACACACACGTATATAGACACGTTTTATACACCTTCTTTAACAATTAATAAAACTTATATGCCGTTAATTAGCTAAATAATCGTTTGATAATTGTTATTCTTATCAAATGAAGAGATGAAATAAGTAAATCGATCGATTAATTAATTAATTATTCAATTAATTAAATCTAAAAGGAAATGATTCACTTGCAGTCAAGTAGTTAGTTACTCAACATGAGTGAGTGTGAGTGTAAGCAACGATTAAAAGTGAAAGCAAAAATGATAATTTTCGCCATCATCATCATCATCATCATTGTTGTCGTTCATGACGTAATAAGGGGTTCGTATAAAGGTACACACACACGCACACACGGATGTCGTTAAACTAAAACTAAATAAGGTTGAAATAAACAAAGTGCACCATGCTTACCTAATTAATTAAACAACCAAACAATTGAAATTAGTATGTAATATATACAGGTGTATAACATCATACGTTTAAGAAATAGACGTCAAATCGCCTCAAAATATATTCATCAAATTGAAATTAACTCAATAGCTAAAAATGGTTACAAGTTATGATTGCATCACAGAGTATGAAGATAAACTTCTTACATAATGTGCAACAAGATTCAGCTCCATTGATTCAGCCATCAACAACCGCAAGAGCCGATGAAGTTGTCTCATAGCTGTTGTGCTATTAAATAGTTGGTGTGGTGTATTTTGTAGTTGGTTTGGTACTGAATTCAATCAGTCCTATATACGAATCAATGCTGATAAATGTGTAAATCACTGCTTATTATGTGTTCACAAATTTTGCCAACACTGGTTGTGCTGTGTGTATGTGTGTTTAAATGTTTCCGTGAGTTGTTACACATTGGCATGCAAACAATATTACTATTTATCTAGCCAAACCAACCGCGCATATTCAAATATGCAATGCAAGACATACATACAGCACTCAGGATGCATTATCATACATGTAGCATGCATACACGAATTTAACATACAAACAGCTAGTGATTTCAAAAGTGTTATACACCTTCTTTAACAATTAATAAAACTTATATGCCGTTAATTAGCTAAATAATCGTTTGATAATTGTTATTCTTATCAAATGACAATAGAGAGAGCTGGGTAATTAGTTCTCCAGTATATAATTCAGTGGAGTTGTTATGGAGGAGTTGTTGCATGGTGCAAGCGATCGACTGAAGATAGTGGCCACGTGAAAATGAGATGTGTTTCCATCATTACACGAGAAACATTCCAGATGAGAATGATGTTAAGAGAGAGAGAGGATGGTGTTAACAACCAATCAACCAGTGACAATTAGGCAACAGTAGGATTGATTTATTAGCGAACGACAAAAATGTAAGAGTGTGGGGACCAACTTTCATCTTTGGAATCGTTTATTAACGAGAAGCGTTGAAATTTACACCAAAAATGTCACTGGACATTCTTACGTAATAATAAATTATTAAATCAACCAATGAATGAATGAATGAACGAATGAATGAACGAACGAATAAAAATCTACTTTAATATAAGGCGTATGTATCGTACGAGACGATGCACAACGCAGTGTACACAGTGTGATTTAATTGGATAGTTCAACAGCACACACACGCACACACACACACACGCACACATATCTATATATATATACACATACATATAATATATACTATACCTAATAACATAATATAGCATACAGGTAATTTTTAATTATAATAAGTTTAAATCATTGAAATGTGATAACTTTATTTATTTAGGGAAAAAAGACCCAAAAAAAAATAAAAAACCCAGATTAATAAAAATACTAAAACTAAAAAAAATAATTTTCAAATAGTTATTAATTATAAATATATGTTACATTTATTTATATATTTATTATATATATATATATATATATATATACATTAAATTAGTTATTATATATATATATATATATTTAGTTATTTATAAAGTACACACACACACACACACACACACACACACACACACACATATATATATATATATATATATATATATAGTAGAGAGAGAGAGAGAGAGAGAGAGAAACAGAGATAAAAAATAAGAGGTATAAACACTTAAGACATTCACTTATGAACGATGATGGCATACAATGAAATACATTTTGATCGATTCGTACATGCATACACAGAAAAACACACACACATACACACTCATGCATACATATATAGCAATCACAGCTCGTATGTGAGTGTACAGGTATGTACACAAATAAAACGCATACCTCAAAGAAGTATATATATATACTTAAGATATATGTAATAATATATATATATATATATATATATATATATATATATATATATATACATGAAATGTCTAATGCACACAGAGCAATGAAAGTTCAACAATTGGCCACCTCTACCTAGCTTAAGTGGTACAATTGATGAAGTGATCGAATGAATGAATGAATAAGTAAATAAATGAATGAATGATCGAACAAATAAAAGAATAAGTGGATGAGTGAAAAAATTAAATGAATGGTGAAATAAAAACGAATCAACAAAATAATAAGTTAATGTTCGCGAGAAATGAACATACCTAACATTGAATAAACAAAACTGATCGGATGGACTGAAGAGATTTACCAATAAATGAGTAAAATCTTTTCTTACAAAATCACTATAAATTAGAAAAGTAGGTTGACCGGCTCAAAACTGACCGCAGAGCTTCATATCACCAGCACTATCATAATCTAGCACAGCACCACCATGTTCAACATTTATTGTAAACTATAATGAAACAAATAGTTGTTTGGGGAATGTTACAGAAATGATGAAAATAACCAACATAACCACTCCTCTTTTACTCACTCATCCACGCACTCATTCATTTACTCAGTCACTCCTTCATTCAGTCTTTCATTCAAATTTCCAGGTGAAAACATCTCACAGTGTAATCGAATCCACAACCAGATCGAGAGAAGCATACAGGCAGACCGACATACGCATAAAAGCAAGCAAACAAAAACACTCATACAGACATGTATGTATATATAAATAACTGAATGCCTTTTTACAAAAGTGTAAAAATAAATACCTACCTACCATGAATGTTATCCATAAACGTTATATCACAAAACACACACACGGACAGAAAAACCCAACCCGCACCGACAAGAAAGATATTTTTCGTATTTTTTACATTTTCAGGAGCAACTGATTGATATTAATTATATGGTACAAATACTCCAGCATATCAAAAAGAATAATAATAATAATAATAATAATTATATCAATGTTTTCGTCAATGCAAATAATTATACTGAAATGTTTTCATATATATATACACATGTAATAGATATAATTTTGCAGAGTTAAAAATAAATAAACCAACGAACGAAAGAATGGATGAAAAAAAGAAGCAATGTCCTTATTTGGAAAGGGCGGCAATGATGGCCCACAAGAGTTCATTGGTGCCCTCCCTCTGCGCTTCCTGCTCGGGGTCAAGGTCGAGCATGTACCTGACACGTTTCATGGCGATTTCGTAGTCGTCATCGGAGAGTGGAGCGAATGCGTTCTCGAGGACGTCTGAAACGTGCGAGAGATAGATGAGCATGAGCATTCGTCGGTCCATGCGATGGACATCATTCGTCCAACGAGAGAGGACAGAGTCCTGAACTTTCTTGACAAGTTTCGACTTGATGGATTTGTCGTTCAGCGGATGGGTCGTCATGTCGAACAGCACAAAGTTCTGCTTCTCCGTCGTGCACACTCCCTTCTCTACTAAATTTTTTGCAAGGCGCTCGCGAACGTTGCGCAGTTGGTAGCGCAGTTTCATCGGGTTCCATGTCTCACCTGTTGTGTTCAGTGGCACGTTTTGATCATCTTGTTGTATTAGTAGGAATGAAATTTTTATTGAAAATATTACCTCAGTATGATGTGAAGAAAAATATTTTAAGACCGTATAAAAATCTTCAGAACAGTAGAAAATAGTTTCTAAGGTAGAGTTAAAAACATAACATCTGCATTGCACATACATATAGACATAGACACACATGAATCTCTATTCAGACATGAATCTTTATCTAGACAGATAGATAAAGAACTGACCACTGAGGTACTCGATCCATGATTGTGTTGTCTCAGGAGGATTGGTCTCTTTGATATGTTTCAGTGCCTCGTCTAGCAACACGTCTCCTGTCAGTACATCTGATTTGCATTTTATTTTCCTTTTTGGGTTTAAAAAATAATTATAAATCATAATTAATTTTATCAATAATGAAATAAACCTCGAGATTAATAAAGCTGAAGCTTAAAGCAAACTAATATTTCGCCAGAAGCTGCTGTTAAAATAACATCCTTTCTTCGGTAGCTGATTGTGTCAAACACCAATTCACAAAGTAAAGTACATATGGACATAAGTACATATGTTGTCTTAGAGTATACACCAAGTAGTATCCTTAATATATACTAACATTTTATTGTATACATCATTACTATATACTAACAGTACTAATACAATTACATCAGTCATGCATTAGCCCAAAGATAATAACTACCTTACTACATTGTGCGTGTGCTAATGTGTATGTATGTACGTATTATGTACGTATGTATGTGTGTGTGTGTGTGTGTGTGTGTGTGTGTGTGTGTGTACGTGTGTGCGTGCGTATAATTAGCGGTACAAAACAGAATAAATAATCTATATACACAGAAATCAATACACAAACTGAGTGCATACTGAAATATTAAAACGTTTGACTTGACATAACATCAAAAAATCAACAGTGGTCTTTCAATTGCAAATCTATCTTTCAACCCAGTACACTTTAAAACTCCATCATCATCATCATCGCCGTCGCCGTCGTCAACATTATTATCACTACCATCATCATTGTTATCATTACCATCGTCCTCATCAGACATTGAGTTAATATAATTGGATGATAGTGTTACTAGCTGCTCTAGCTAACTGTGCATGTTTACTCTATTTAATTTTGATGAATGCTTTGAAAAAACAAATCAATCCCATATGAGCAGCTAAAGATTTTTAATATAGGAGGGAGAGAGAGAGAGAAAGAGAGAGAGAGAGAGGGAGAGAAAGAGAGAGATGGAGAGAGAAAGATTTAAAGAGAAAAGAAATAATTATATACATATATATTTAGATATATTTGAATATAAAAGTTTCTTCATACAAAAAAAATTCAACAGAAGCCATCCATCAATTTCACTGACCATTAATTTACCTATCCATTCGTCTGCATATACACTCATCCATTCATCTATTTTATTTATTTTCTTCCGATCCGTCCATCAATTAATTCATTTATTTATTAACTTGTTTGCTTAAAAATCAGTCTTTACGGCATTCATCCTCCTGCTATCACCGCTAAAAACTAAATTATATACATACCTGCTATTTTTTATTACATATCCACCAAATAATATTTTCACCAATACAAAAAACAGTCCCCACCACCAGAACTGCCAATGTCAAAATTGTAATCATAAAATGATAACCATTCGAAATGATAAAATGATGAGTATTATAATTTTTACTACCATTATTATTCTCTCTTAGATGTACCTAAGGGGTATAGACATTCCTCAGATAATCCTCATATCACCAACCCTCAAAACAATCATCATATATTTATATCATCATAAACCTCATAGCAATCCTCACAATAGTCATCATGACCATGGATCAATTTCAATGACCTCTTGACATATTCATATTAACCTGTTCAATAAACTCCTCCTCCTCATTCCTGTCTTCTCCAGTTCAATCCTGCCCTTCAGGGCAAGTTCAGCTATGATGCAACCCCGAAGCCCGGACGATAGGCAATCATTCCAGAAGGATGTGTAACCCTGGTGATGTGTGAGACAATGAATGAGAGATAGAGGTAGTGAGAAAGAATGAAATGAAGAGAGAGAGGAAGAGAGAGGGAGAGAGAGAGAAAGAGAGAGAGAGAGAAAGAAAGAGAGAGAGAGAGAAAGAAAGAGAGAGAGAGAGAAAGATGAAAAGATAACAGAGAGAACAAGAAAGACAGATGGTTAGGAATAAAAAAGTGATTAGTGTTGCTTTGTCAATTGTTTAATAAGAGAAAACACGAGACTAAAATTAAGGGATAGATGGAAAGATAGAGAAAAAAAGAAAGACATAGATGGACAAAAGTAGAGAGAGTGATGGAAGTGTGTGGTTTTTGTCAACTGTTTAGTGAAAGAAATTAAAAAAAATTAAGTGAAAGATGTATTGAAATGAAGAGATAGATAGAAAGATAGATGGAAGAATAGAGAGAATAAGTAATGGGAGTTTGTGAATTTTGTTAATTATTTAGTAATTTATATTAATAAATATTTACATTGCTGTTTTTTTTGTTAAACAAAAACAGATCTACTGGTTTTAAAAACAACTCGTATATAATATGGACAACATTTAACAGAATTTAACTCCTTCATCATTGCTATCGCCATAGTAGTCGCCAGTAGTTTACTAAATTACTGAGTTTAAGAATTAATTTAAACATTATAACATAGAGAGTTTTAAGCTGAAGTTGTATTAGTGAAAATATCTTGAGATTTTGTTTTAACAACATTTTAATAAGCTGACAAAATGATTCTTCCTTTTTTGAATTTCACTAATAAAACAAAAATTAAAGCTGCCCAAGTTACAATAAAAATAAATAAATTAACATTCAATGCACTGCTGTTTGGAAATAAATTCAGCAGTTCTCCCAACTCATTAATTAATTATTATTAATTAACAATTCATTTATTTGATAAATAAATTCTTCTTCACCTATACAATTAAATTTAAATCAAATTAAATTTAAATATCAATTGATAATAAAATACAAAAGTCAATGTCGAAAAAACCTTTATTCTTCAAAGTTTAACCAACAAAAATTTTTAAGTAAATTAAATCAGCCAGGAAATAAAAAAAAAGTAAACAAAGGATGATGACAGGTGCAGGCAGTGAACAGAAAAATTGTTTAAAAAGATTATAAAAAAAATAAAAACCTCTTTGTCCTTCAGTCCCAGGAGTAGAACTTCCTCCATGAGGGTCAGTCTGGCCTCCTTCGAATCCAAATCTTCAACTTCGTCTTTCTCGGCCGCTGCCGTTCCTGATTTGTCGTCGTCGCTTTCGTTGGCCACCTCGTCGCTCTTGTAAACGTTGCTGCTCGCTTGAGCGGCGTTTTTTCGCTGAACTAATCCCTCCGATCTATTCATGACTGGTTTTTAAAGTATGTCTTAATGGTCGATATGATGTTTTTAAATATTTACAAACAATTTGTTACGAAGTAAACAAAAAAAACACAAGAGGCCGGAAGTAGCGTCAATATATTTTAATGTTGCCAGGTTAGGTGTGTTTAGTTAGGGTGTATCTGTCGGGCTCCGTGTTAATTTCAATTTCTATTTTAATGAATAAGCAGTGAAAATGACTATTAAAAATATTATTTGAATATTAAAATTAAAATATTTTTACTGTACGTGTTAAGAACATTATTATTATCGAAAACAAGATCTATAACTTCAGATGTGGCCAAATAAAAACCAAACAACGACTGTTTTACGTGTTGAACATTTGAAATCAACTCTTATTTAAGGACTCTCACATGAATTTTTTTTACTAAATTTTCGCAAGAAACCAAATACTATGAAACAAACTTTGTCGCAAATAAAATTTTACGTGATTTCAACAAGAAGTATCAAGGGATAATTAACAATTTAGCCAGTCATTCGTTGATCATCAATGTATCGCGGCCTAAAAAAAAGGGGTGTACAGAACAGCGTAGAAGGTTAACGAGTTTTAAGATCTATAATTTTAAGATTTTATATATATATATATTATTATTATTATTATTAATGAAAAATTTAATAAAGCGCTAATTCAAAGGATCTCAAAAGCGCTATCAAAAAAATATCATGGCATAATCAACATAAATAAAGAGTTATCAGTGCATTTCAACAAAAAAAAATTTTAAGAAAAAAAAAACACAGTCTTCATTATTTCCCTAATCTAACATCGCTCAATAAACTATATAAATCACTCAGTTATAACTAAAACAAGTCAGTTAGATGAATTACAACGAAAATAAGTAAGTTTTCAGTTTTCTTTTAAAATCAGGCAGGTTCAACTCCGGATCTCTTAGAAAGGCAGGCAAATTGTTCCAAACAGACGGTCCCAAGACGGCGATGTTACGAGACCCCATATGAAGACACGAAACTGGGACTAGCATCAGGTTCAGATCATGAGACCTCAGATGCGTTCCAGAAGGAGGTGCCAACTTCTTTGCAAACATTTCCGACAAATAAGGTGGTGCAAGACGATTTATTGACTTGTAGACTAGAGTTGATATTTTGAAGATTATTCTTTTTATACGGTTAGCCAGTGCAGTTGTTTCAGTATTGGTGATACGTGATCATATTTTAAACCGCCGACAACAACCTTTGCAGCACGATTCTGCAATGACTGTAATACAGCTAAATGTTTATCAGGTAATTCGTAAAACAGGTTGTTACAATAATCAATTCGTGAGTGCACGAAGGCATGAACCAGAGTCTGCAACGTAGTAGTGTCAAGAGATCTACGTATTTGATTGAGCTTTCTTATTTGGTACATGCATTCAACGGAAACCATTCTAATGTGATCTTTCATTGACAGATTGGAATCTAGAATAAATCCCAGACTAGTAGCTTTTTGGCAAAACGGGATGACACTGTTTTTGATGATTAAATCAGTTTCTAACTTCATAAGCTGTTGCCACGTACCTACCGGCAAAAATTTCGTTTTACTCTGATTCAGTTTAAGAGCATTGTTTTGCATCCACAAATCAACCTTTGATAAACATTCAACCAATCTGTCCAATTCGGCCTGGAAAGTACCAGGCTTACTGGTAACAATGATTTGTATGTCATCCGCAAATGCATGATATGAGAAACCAAATGATTCGACCACTTTGAATACCTCAGATGTATACAGAAGAAACATGACAGGACCCAGAACCGAGCCTTTGGGCACAACAGACAAAACTATATTGACCTCGGACACTTTACCACCAAATGATACTTGCTGAGTTCTACCAACCAAATACGATTCAAACCACCTTAACATAGCACCAGAAAATCCAAAAGTAACACACAATCTCTCTAAAAGTATTTTGTGATTTACACAATCGAATGCGGATGACATATCGAGGAACACCATCATAGACGTCTTCTGTTGATCGATAGCCCCATAGACATCAGACAGAACCTTTAATAGAGCCGTTTCAGTTGAATGGTATTGCCTGAAACCTGATTGATAAATCGACATTAAATGATTATTCTCTAGGTGAGTGAGTATCTGTTTAACAACCACACGTTCAATTATTTTAGATATGAAAGACAGATTGGATATCGGTCTATAGTTTTCAACATTATTCTCATCAAGATAGTGGTTTTTTATTAGTGGAGTTATTATAGCATGTTTGCAAGCAGAGGGAAATTTACTTTGATTTAAACACATATTGACAAGGCATGTCAAAAATGGCGAAAATAGATTAATAAACTTTTGTTGAGAAGTGAGTTGGTGAATTTTTTACTATGTTAATTATATCTTTCTCAGAAACATCTGAAAATGTTGCGAACAAATTTTTGACATTTGATCTGCAATCAGACGAGTTAGACCGAACTTTGATTTCGATGCTGTCTATCACCTTACTCAGTTTGTCGTTGAAGAAGGACATAAATCGATCTGGCGTAAGTTCATGCATACTAGAAGAATGATTGTCATTATGATCTCTGCAGAGAATTTTATTCAAAACTTTCCAGAGATTTTTAGGTTTTGTCTTGTTTTCCTCAACAATCCTAATCCAATATTTGTGACGTTTCTCTGAAAAAAGTTTTGATTTATTTTTCAAAGCACATCTCCATTCCTCACGATGAACTTGTTGCAAACTATTTTTAAAAATTCGTTCTTTCCTTCTACAAGCACGTTTACAAAACCTGCACTCATCATCAAACCACGGTGCCAAATTAACACGATTGGTGACTACCATACATATATATATGTGTGTGTGTGTGTGTCTACACAAGCCTGTTATATTTACATGGAATGACATACAATCAGTTTGCCAGCCTGCTTGCTTCATGCAATTTTAAAAACCGGCTTCAGTTGAGTTATTTAGAACTTTATTGGAATGATTTTGTTTTATGAAATTAAATAAAAACTCGAAATAGCGTCAGTTTATTTCCATTATACAAGAAAATACTAATCGATATATTGTCAACCATTCATCAGCTAAATAATTTGAAATATTTTCACAGTACTAAACATATATAATGCATTAAAAAATTAAAGATAAGCATTTTCAACCAAACGGACATCTCTCTCTTTTCTCTCCCCTTTTCTCACTCTCTCTCTCTCTTTTTCTCTCTCTCTCTCTCTATCACATACATAATCACACACGCAAACACACACAAGCATATATACAGCCACATACAAATAACAGAAAACTATCATCAAGACTGATCCATTTCCTGATTAATGCTGTCATTTCCGTTTACGTCATCTGCATCTTCGTCAGCTGGTGAATAAAAAAAATAATAATAGCAATAAACAATAATAATTTTAACAATTATTATGAAAATAATTAAAATTTATGAAAAATTACAAGAAATGCTGAGAAAAAGAACAACACATCTTGTAATAATTAAATGTGAAATCAAAATATAAATCAACTAACCAAAACAATTATAATTTAGTGCCAAAAAAATAATGTATAAAAATAATTAAACCAAGATCTGAACCTTTGAGAAGTCTCTGAAGTTCGTGGCAGCTGGCAATGAGAACGTAAAACTGTTTCCTTCTGTTGTCCAACTGTAATTTATAAAATTGTAACAAACAACATTTCAAAGATTACAAACATTACTATTACTAGAAGCATTATAAAATCATCATCATCCCAGTCATTAATTAATCAATAATCCTCGTCAATATCATATCTCTTAATCACAACTTTGGCTGTCTTTATGAAGTTCAGCAGTGTTCTCATCCAAAACTAGATTAAAAGAGGACAGGTGGGGGGTATAGACCCAAGGTTTACAAAAAAAACTTCACAGTGAATAGACTATTCAACTTGCGTTTTTGACCAATAAAAGGTTCTCACATTTAGACCGACAACACATAGACAAGCATAATAGCAGTGTTCCATCCGGCAGTTTAGTTTTTAATAAGAGTGTTTTTGTCTGTGACAACGTTGGTTGTTGAAGGAATCACTTTTGTTTGCGGTAAGTATTTTTAAAGAGTTAACAAGAAAAAAAGTTGCTTTTTGAATTTTAAATTTAATTTCGGATTTTAGCTCCTTCGTTGTACTAGGGCCTCCAGAAAATGCAAATCCGTTCCTAATTCCACCCAAGTCCATTTTGTGATGTTATCCATCATTTTTTTGGCAGGTCTTCCAACTTCTCTTGCCTGGTTTTTTTTCCTAACCAGTACTCTTGCTATCTGGAATTCTGTGAATATCTCCACAAAGGTAGAACTTTTTTACCTTTTTTCATACATATTATTGCTTCTGAAGTTAGTATCCAATGACTTTGATTCTCATCTTCTTTCTCATATTTGATTCATAAAACCATTCTGTAGCACTTCATTTCAAATGCTTCCAATCTGACCTACCTTCTCCAAGTTATTGTCCAAATTTTGCATACATGCAGATAACAAAAGAAGTTCTTAACATTGTAAACTTCATTTCAACAGACATAAGGGCCGTCCATAAAGGGAGGGGGGGTCAAAAAAACGTTAAAAAAGCGTGACATCCATTATGGACAGCCCCATATATTGATATTACCACATTTTTCAACTTTTTATTCCAATGAAAACACTATTTTTAACATTAGGCGGCATAATCACCCAGCCACCCAACTACTAAAAATGATGAAAGCCTACAATAAATACCTTATCCCTCTGCAATTTCCTCGTCTCCTCGAGAGCCACCAGTTCCTCTTCGATGCTTTTCAATTCTCTGTTAATTAAATTTGGTTATTATATAATTGAATTTGAATTAAAAATGAATAAATTATCAAACTTCATTTGAATACATGCTTAAAGAATGTTCAAATAATATGGCAGAGAGAAAGAAAAATAGAGTGTCAATTTGTAGCTGAGAATTTTAATTAACAAACAAACCAACCAAATTAACCAGTCATTGGAGAAAAACGGATATACAACAAACAAAAATCATCAAAACAAACAAACAATTAAACAGACAACCAAATAAATAGACAAACAAACAATTAAACAGACAACCAAATAATTAGACAAACAAACAATTAAACAGACAATCAATTAAATAGACAAACAGTCAATGCAACTAAGCAAACAAACAAACAAAGATCAAATTGAACAAACAAATACTAATTAAAAGTTAAAAAACAAACAAAACCAAAAGAGCAAACAAACAAGCAAAGTATTATGCAAGCAAACAAAAAAAACAAACAATTATGCAAGCAAACAAACAAACAATTATGCAAGCAAACAAACAAACAGTTAAGCACACAAACAAGCAAACAAAAAACAAACATACAAACAAAAGACAATTATGCAAGACAATAATCAATCAATACAAACAAAAGGAAACAAAATTGATAATAATACTTTTGCAGCTGTCCCCTATCAGTGTGCTGCTGTATGACCTTTGCCATTGCATCATATTCTTAGCAGGTGAATTAATTTTTAAAACTTAATGCATCTCATTGTTTGATTAATTACAAAAATTAATTATTAATTAACTAATTAATTATCAATTATTATTAATTATTAATTATTTGTTATTAATAATGTTTAAATGTAAAATAAAACTTTACTTTAGTTCAAAAAAATCATCACTAAATCATTGAAATGAAATGAATTAAAGACATAAGTAATCTATTGTTAAAATTAAAATCCATAATGTTATTGTTATCATTAACAGTATCACTATCATCATCGTCATCATTACCATAACCATCATCACCGCCATCATCATCATAACCATCATCATTATTATAACCTCATCACCGTTATCATTACCATAATCGTCACCATCGTCATCATTATCATAACCATCATCGTCGTCGTCATCATCATCAGTACCGACCCTCCTTATATCTCCTGACATTGAGGGCCTGTTGTAATTCAATTTTGCTCTTCTCTATGTGAGCTCCGGCCTTTTCGATTTCGTCCGCTGAAATTTTAATCAACAACATCATCATTTTTATCATCATTATCATCCAAATCATTTTATCATCATCTTATTATTTTATTGCCATCTTATCATTTATTAAATCATATTTTTCAAATTTTTATCAGTACTCTCATTTTTATCATCATCACCAGCATCACCTCACTGCTGTCATTCACCATAATCATCACCACCGTTAATTAATATCATTATCACAATTAGCATCATTACTTATTCACTCCCTAACTCACTCACCCACTTACCTACTCACCCACATACCTACTCACTCACTTACCCACTCACTTACCCACTCACTTACCCACTCACTCACTCCCTCACTCACTCACTCACTCACTCACCGATGACATCATTAAGTTTCTTATAATTCTCCTGTTCCTTCAAGCACATGTTGTACACCTGCTCTGACTTGAACATGGCGTACTCACATTGTGATAAGGTCGACAACATCTTCTGGTAGGTCACATTACTGTTTTAAGATAAATTTACAGAAATTATGTAATTATCAAAAAAATTTTAAATTTAGAAAAAAAACATTCTAAACTTCAGTAAATATTTCATAATCTTTGTTATAAATATATATATTTTTAATTTCTTTCAAAGAATCTTTTTTCAAATAATTTTTTTGTCTGTTTCAACTTGTCAGCCATTGGTCAAATAGGTCAGTTAGGTTAATCTGGTCATTCAGTCAGCCAGTCTGTGAATTGAGTTTAGCTGACCAGCTAGCAAGCCAATCAACACATCCATGAATAAATTATAGTTAATAAATGAGTTGGTATATAGAAGTGTGTGCCTATATGTGTCCATGTGTAGAGTGTGTGTATATGTGCGTGAGTGTGTGTGTGTGTGTGTATGAGGTCCCTGACAAACCTATCTTCAGGACTTTCACTTAAGTCGCACCACTTAATGAAGGTCCTTAGCAGGTTGGCAATCCTTTTCTCGTCATTGCCTCCATTGCCCTCTATTAACAACTTGCGCTTTATGATTTCATCTGATGAGTGATAGAGTTGATATGATTAGTTAGTGTTAGTCAAATTCGGTTTTTATTTTTTATTATTTTATGAAATAATCAGTAATTGAGTAATCAGTAATGAATGGATGGAAAAACCTGACTGAATACAATAATAAATTTAATTTATTTCTAATTTAACAATTAATTAAATTAATTTTTTATTTTATTTTTATTAACTTTATTTATTATTTATTCATTAAATAATAAAAAAAAACGCTGGACCCAGACGGAAAGGTTATTTTTAATTTTAACACTGAGCTAATTAATATAGTTTTTATAGTTTATATACATATATAGTAATTTTTTAATATATAATATGGAAATTAATTATAATTTGAAATAATTTTATTTTTTACAATACAAATATCAAAATTTTAAAAAATAATTTAACCCTCTTGAACAGCCATCAAATAAAAAATTACTTTAAAATCAAATTTATTATAAAAATGTACGGAATTCAAGAAATCGGCAGAGCAGAAATAACAACAATCCACTTTTATGATCGCTAAAAGTAAACGTAAATACAAAAACACAAATTTAAAAGTGTATTCAGACAATAAAAAATTGACAATGATGTCGAAAATTTTGAAAACAGCAAAATCTTCCACAAAGATTTTGTCGCAAAGATACATTAATATTGTGTTTAACATATTCACTTTTGGATTATTAACACAAATATTATTTTGTCCGGTTTTCCGGATTTAGGGATTTCACGAGATTCTAAAAATCTAAAATGTATTTCTAAATTTTGTTCGCTAGAGTATCATTGTACAAAAGTACGCTGACCTCCTTAAAAACTGACTATAACAGTAATTTTTTGTAAAATAATATACGAAAAAGTGACGAAAAGTAATTGTCCTAAAAAACTTTTAAAACGTCATTACAAAGAAACAAGTCACCCCTAACTAAGAACTCAAAGAGACTAACGTATATAAGCGAATGTCATTGATAAGCTGTCGGGTACGTGTGTCCCGGTCGACACGTCCGGCATCGAATTGCGCTGCCTTCGGCGATCTGCAGGAAGGGTGTCCCACGTAAGGTAGACACAACACAATACACACTGCGACCGGTTCAACTGCGATGATGCGTCGGGCCGGCCGTCTCAGATATTAAACACGAGGGCATATGAGGATATGAGGAAGCGAGGCTTAGGTACATCCCTACACTACGCAAACAGTACAGGGCACTACACATGGTCTCACACTGAACATATCTATCCCGTAAGTACAACACGAGATGATATATGTCTTCACGTACCCACATTGGCGCCGACAGTGTGCGGCCTGCCGAAACTTTTTTAATTTTTCACACTAGAGAATTTATTTTTTTGCCTGCTTTCACATACTGACATCGTGAGACATTAAATATTAATTTTTAACAAGTTTTCAAACAGATTTATTGATCTGTATTATTAAGTTAATTTACAAACAAACGAACGAATGAAATGTAACAATGCAGCTGATGTAGCCATGTAAAAAACGAAGAAAGTATCATATTCATTTTCTGTAGAATTAAAATTAAAGGTCCATAAGGAATATCATGTTCATATTGGTATCCTATATCATGAGTGTCATCATGTAAAGAATGCATCCAGCTGCTTCTGTATTGTTTCCAACTGAATAATAATAAATTGAAAAAAAATTCAACAACTTAAAAAGATATTTGCTACTTAATTCAATGCACTGAAATTTGACAATTGGCATTTATTTTCAAAAAATTTATACTGTATTAATTTGAATAACTTTATAATCAGATTAATTAGGTTTTTCTGTGCAAAGCCAAATAACCTGATTGTAGAAGTCATACAATTCTGAATGATTGAACTCTAAAGTGATATTTTCCTTGGCCTGCTTTAAGAAAGTGTAAAATGAATAACACAATGGAAATAATGGTTGGTAAGTAATAATATAATAATCACAGTATTGTTAACAATAGGCGCATTATGATATATTATATTGCTTTTATGAAATGTATAGCATACAGAAATGCATGCAAAAGTATCGAAAAGTTAAGGTACCCACTTCACTGTTATTTTCATCAGTGCACTCCAACCCAAATGTCATAACAGCACTTGGCTGAACATACTTACCAGATGACAATTTAGATGTGGCCATATTTAAATTTAATGACCAGTCTATAGTGGATAAGTTCTTTGGAATAATTGATTGACTTTTAGCATTTGCTATTAAATCTTTACATTTGGCCTTCCATACAGAGGACATAGCAATGATCTTAATGTGATTAGTGAAGAAACTAAACTTAAAATTTATATTTTATGAAATTGAATGTGAAACTTTATAGAAAATCTACATTCAAGAATACGTATTAATAAGGTAGACATGAGAAGTAAAAGAAAAATGTGATAACCTTTTCTTCATTAAATCCTAATTCATAGAGCTCCTTTTTAAATGCTGATGTGGAAATAACGTGATAGACAGCTTGTTTGAAGATTGATATGCATGTGTCAATTATCACATCAATTTCACAATCATTAACCAATCCAAATGCAGTTTTTAGTTTTTCTTTGTCTTCATTACTGAATAGGACATTTTTCTGATTGTGGAGAGCATTCATTTTTTGTTCTTAACATTTATTTTTCTCAAGTTACATACAAAAATCAATTATCCTAACATCGAATTTAACAAAATCATAACGTATATTAAAATTAAAACTACTTTGCTGAATTGAAATGCTGACAGCTTGTTCAACAGAATTAGAAATTTTTGATCTTCTAGGGAGTTAATCAAGACGACACTGTCAACTCTAAAATAATTGGAAACAACAAGACGATGCATAAGTTATTAAAATTAAAAATCAATTAATTAAATTAAACCAACATCTAACAAATTTAGAATTTTCATTTTATAGGTTTATACAATTTGATTTTTGAATTTACACTTGAGGGCCAAGTTGCCCAAGTAAGTAATTACTAATAAATTACTAAAAAAATAGTAACTTCTTGAAGCTTGAAGAACTGAACTTACAGTAGTTCAGAGTCTAAATTGATGAGTTTCATTCTAATGGTGCTACTGTAAGTGACTTTTCACAGATTTTATTGAACGTCCCCACACTAACTTGACCGAGATATGGTTGGTTAGGTTTGGTTTTTTTAGAGGTTTAGCTAAAGGCGTGTCCGATTGTCCGATCATATGAACGATGCATACAAACATAAGATTACTTTTAAAAACTAACTTTTTTACTTTTAAACGGAGCTGGCTAAATCATTTAAAATAAAAATTTAAACTCATTTTTCAGCTACCAAAAAAAAACTAATGACTAATTATATATTGTATCTAAATTTAAAGTTTTAAAAATTGTATTTGATATTCAAATCAATTGAAAAGTAAATTTTAAAATAAATAAAACGATGAATCGGATTTAATCCGCCCACGATAGTAATTTAGCACGAAATTTTCACGTTGTTTTGTTCCCAGGTGTGAATTTTTCAAATTTATTCACCTCTAAATTCTCGAAAATGGGCGACCTGAAGGTTAATTTCGATTTTTTACTTCCTTTCTGTGGATGAATTTTGAAAAACTTGTTCATTGTTTTTTTTTCTAGTTGATCAAACACATGAAACAAAAGTCATTTATTAATTAATAAAAAAGGTTACCTACAGCAACACGTGGTTCCCTGTTCTACATTTGATTGTATATTATATTCTTTCTTCATTCCTTAAAATGTTTAAAATCATAATTCATTTCATTCACCATTCATTCATTAATTTATTGTTCTTTTTTTTCATTATGCCATAAGTTTTCATTTATTTATTTGTTATTCAATTATAATATTATTGTTATCATCTTTTTGTCTTGATTATTTCTTTTTATTCATGGGATTGTAACTGCTTTTTTTTTTACTTAGTTTTTAATCATCATTAAGTTGCCACATCATTATTGGTTTGGTGTGATCATTATGATGCATTGTATGATTGTATTGTATCTTCACTTCACTTCACTTCTTGTACACTTCACTCAACATAATCCATAATGTTATTGTTGGCTATAAATCATTTAATATGGCTTATGGGTTTATTTATCAACGGTTTTATCATATAAAAAATAAATGTATTCCTAGGCCTCTATGTAAATACAAATGTTTTTATAACATGTTCACAGAATGTTAAATGATGATTCTTTAATTTTCATCTGTTTATTAATTTATTGTTTATTTATTTATATATATATATATATTCTACTTTTATTTAAAACTTATTAAGTTTATTCAATTGAATAAAATACATTTATTAAAAAAATACATTAATGAACTTATAATATCTAATAGATAATTTTCCTTGTACGATCAATTTAATTAATTATTCAACTAATTAGAATTAGTTTCTCTAATCAATCCTAACGCTGATTTGCATGTCATCATCACACATCACGAGCTATATGTACTTGTACATTGTACAGTTATACATTCTGGTTGCCTGCCCTGTTTGTTCTGTACTGTCTGTTGCATGTACTGGTACATGTATTCTTGTATAAATTTCAACTTAATCTAGTGATATGTTCAAAGGCAATGTGTCATTGAGAAGGAAACCACCAGTTAATGTATTTTTTTCCCCATCTCTCTCTTTCTCATTCTCTCTCTCTCATTCTCTCTCTCTCTCTTACTATCTTTTTGCTACTGTACCTTTTCTATTCTTTTTATCTCGTTTTTTTTATGTTTTCTCTCTATTACTTGGAAAATTTTTTGACCAAATGACACTTGTGACATCATTAAGTTTTCAAAAATAATGATGGTATAATTGCTGGTGACATCAGTTTAAAAAATTTTTTAGTGTGAGTTTGAAAATTAACTCATTCATCATTTTGTGGAACCTGATTCAGAGAGCTTACATATGTACACACATACATATATACATACATACGCATATATGCGCGCGCGCGCACACACACACACACATACATAGGTACAATTAAAATTCCAGCTGCACTGAGGATTGGTGTTTTAATTCTGCATCATTGCAGTTTTATATTT